CCGAGTTTGTCAGCTCTTTTCGGGTTTATTAATTTTTATTTTCTTGATAAAAATCACTTAACCTGCCATAGGAAGGTGTCTGAATTACATTTTAAAACATTTTTTTCAACAGCCTGTCACAATACCTGGCACCTAGTGTGTTCTTAATAAATCATGCTGGATGCCTTACCATAGGCTCCATTTTCAAAATTGATCCCTTCTCTTAACACTGTTAAGCCCTCTGTGGTAGTTCTTTTTATCACCTCTTCTGTTTATAATTATATTTACAGTTTTGTCTCTAATTATAAAAATAATACATGCTCATTATATAAAATGCAGAAAATTAAAATCACTCATAATCCCATGTCTCAGAAAAACTCAATTCACTTTTTGTGTATTGATATAGTTGGTATTTAAGTACAGTAGCATTTTTTCCTGGGTTAGTGCTTCTATTAGATGGAAGGGCAATTTTTTTTTATGTAGGAGGGAGGCCCCCATTGGTCTGGGTTGCTTCTGAGCTCACACGACAGCCTCCCCCCTCTTGAAGCTTTTTATTACGTTGTACAATGCAGACCTCCAGCATACGGTGAATTTGATGAGGATCTGCATTGCATCTCACTTGATTTTGTCTTCAGAGCCCAGCATGGCGTTTCAGTGGGTGTTTGTTGAATGCATGAGTGACTGAGAAAGATGGCGCTAAACCAGTTTTCCCTCTCTCTATGTTGACCCCTTATGCTCTAATTATACCTCCATTTACCTAATTCCATATTGTGGAAACATAAATTGCCATGCAGTGAAACTATGATTGCTAGTTGCTTTTTAATAGTAAGATGTTGGGTCTTTGAAATATTGCTTGCCTTGATGGGTGATGAATACTTTTAATCCTTTGGTCACCTTATTCTTTTTTAATAAGTTAATTACTTTCTATTATGTTGATGGATTGTTTTATATTTTAGATGATTCCCTCTAAATGTTGCAACACAGGGACTATTAGATAGAGCTAACTGCCACCGCCTTGAGTTTTTCAGAAGAGGCTCCTTATTAAAAAATATGTAATTTCAGTGTGTGTGGAAGGCACTCGTTCCCATCATCAGTGCCTCAAGATGGAATTAGGAGACTTAAAAAGATAAAGCACTTTTTTCATTTAATAAGCATCCACCATATTTATTCTCATAGTTTCCCCCACATTTGCTATTTCACTGTGAAATAAAGAGGATAAAGGGATTCCTAGGAGTATCATTCCTTAACAATAGTGCTCCTAGTCAACTTAAAATAGAGATGTTCTCTGGAGTCTCAATCTCCTAACAGTTCTTGGCCAGCTCCTCAGAGCTAGCTCCCCCCATAGGAGACTGCTCTAGGCGGCATTTCTGGTTCATTGTGAGCAGAAGCGAGATGATTTCCAAACCTTTGAAAGTGGGAATTGATTTAGTTTAGAATGACTGTAGGGAAAGAAGGCATTGATGTTGGAAGTAGGGGCTTTGGAGTCAAACAGACCCGGGTTTGAATTCTGCCTCCTCCACCTTGGTTATGGGATCTTGAGTAGATGCCTGTAGCCTTATACACCTTAGTTTTCTCATCCTATATAATAAAAGGGTAATATGCAAACTGACCCTAACAGCAGAACAACTGGGAATGACTGGTCACTATGACACACACTGACCACCAGGGGGCAGACGCTAAATGCAGGAGCTGCCCCCTGGTGGTCAGTGCACTCCCACAGGGGGAGCTCTGCTCAGCCACAGCCAGGCTGACGGCTGCCAGTACAGCGGTGGTGGTGGGAGCCTCTCCCACCTCCTCAGCAGCACTAAGGATGTCTGACTGCAACTTAGGCCTGCTCCCCACTGGCAAGTGGACATCCCCCGAGGGCTCCCAGGCTGCCAGAGGGATGTCTGACTGCCAGCTTAGGCCCGATCCCCCCAGGGAGCAGGCCTAAGCCAGCAGGTGGACATCCCCCAAGTGGTCCCAGACTGCGAGAGGGCACAAGCTGGGCTGAGGGACACCCGCCCCCTCCGAGTGCACAAATTTTTGTGCACCGGGCCTCTAGTCTATAATATGAGGGTAATGATAGAACCCTACCTCTTATAGTGATTGTGAGAGTTAAATGAGGTAATTTAGGCAAACATTTTGCAGAATTTATTTAACAGCTATAAATATCAGTTCTTGTTATAATAATAACATATTATTAGGGCTCCTATAGCATCCATCTTTGGTCTCATATAACCTTGTAATAGGCTTGAGTAATAGAAATGGGTCTGATTTTAAAATGTAGGCCCTTTCTAGCATACTGCTCTGCATTTCTAAAGCACTTTACAGTTTGTGAAGCACATTCACATTGATCATCTCATTGAATCTTCCTATTTTGAGATATTGTTATTCCTATAGTCCCATCAGCTCTAGTTCTTCAGAGGAAGGAGGAGGAATGAAGGAAATAAGAAGGAATAGCAAGGACAATGAACTGGGTGGGGTGTGAAAAGGAGGTTGAGAAGAGTGATAAGGGGGTGACAAATCCACTCCAGAAAGCTTGCCCTTGTTTTAATTTTAACCCTTTAACTGCCTGACAAGGCCAAACAATTGCTGTTTAGAGATGTAATTATTTCAGGCTGAAAAACATGCATGGGTGTGAGTGTGTGCATGTGTATGTACACATAAGAGAGCGAGCGAGAGCATGAATTATGTAAGAGAACTGCTTTTTTATTATTTGCTTTATAACATAGAGATAAGATTCAGTAAAAAAAAAAATCAGTGGATCTAATATTAGATGCTGGGTTATAAGAGATTTGGAATTTCTCTTCAAATGTTTTTAAACTGATTTTATGTATTTCCTTACCTTAGTTCTGATCTTTTATTTTTTTTTTCTGCCTTAGAATGATAAAATTATAGTGTTAAAGCTGGAAACACTTGGTTGGTCAGGTACCTCCATTTTCCATGCTCCTCCAGGAAATAGACCCTTAGAGGAAAGGCAAGAGGGGTGGATGGAGGAAACTAGCATTTATTGAGTTTCTATCTTCTATCTTGGCAGTCATTTAGGTTATTTATGCATTCATTTTGTAGTTCAACAGATTTTTGGGGAGAGAGTCTTTTATGCACCAGGCACAGTGCTAGCCATTGTATATAGAGCAGTAAACAAAGCAGACATTATTATAGATGCCCTCATGGAACTCAGAGGCTAGTGGAGAAGGCATACGCTAAGGATGTACATGAACAAATACATAATGTAAAATTATTAAGTGCTATGAAGAAAATGAACAGGATATATGTGAGAATAACTGTGGTCAGGGCTTCTTTCTTTTTTTATAATATGGGTTTTTTTAAATTGATTTTTAGAGAGGGAGGGAGAAGGAGAGAGAGAGATTGCCGGGAGCCGGTCCATGCTTGCTGTTTCAAGGGACCTGGCATATATGGCATATTGTTCTTAATATGTTTGCTCACCTTCTTGGCACTATGTGTTTTAACCAAGGTCTCTGAGAAAGGTTGTTTCCCCAGGTAGGGATTTTCCCCTGAAGTTAGGGAGGGAATAAAACCTCTTAACTAAGTGCCAGGTGGGTAATTAATCACTTTAACTACGAACAATCATGCTTAAGCTACATAATCTTTACTCCCTGGAATGGAGATAAGACACGCCCTAACCTTTGAAATAGAGATTGATAGGATTGGAATCAACTGGTATAAATACAGATGTAAGAAGACAGAACGAGGAGAGACAGAACCTAGGCACAGAACCCACACAGAACGTTCTCTAGAGACAGAAGAACTTTGCTGGAGAGAACATGGCAAAAGATCCTGGACAGAAACTGGCCTCAGAACCTAGAGACAGAACCTAGCGAGAGAACATGGCAAAAGATCCTGGACTGAACCTGACTATAGAACATGGCAGGAGAACCTGACTAGAACCTGGTGACTGAACCTGGCTGGAGATCCTAAGCAGAACTTCGCTGGAGATCCAGACCAGAACTTGGCTGGAGATCCTGGCTAGAGATCCTGGCTAGGCTGCTGATCAACTGAACGCTGTCTCCGTGTCATTCCTTCTTCGCCGACTCCGTCCACGCCTTTGGGGACCCCTGGACCCGCTGGGGCTGGACCCCAGCAAGAGATAGAAACATAGATTGGCTGCCTCTTTCATGTCCCCCCTACTGGGGATTGAGCCTGAAACCCAGGCATGTGCCCTGACCGGGAGTAGAACCAGTGACCTCTTGGTTCAGGGGTCAACGCTCAACCACTGAGCCACACCGGCAGGGTGGTTTCTTTCTATAGAATTATCAGTAAAGGTTTCTCTGAGGAGGTGTCATATCATCTGAGCCTTCAACCAATTGAGCCACACTGGCCATGGCTGGAGGAAACGATTAGTGCTGGAGTTCCAAAGGGGAGTGAGAGGTTTGGGAGGGAGGAGGAGTAGGTATTCGGGAGGGATTGGCAATGAGGTATGATGGTTAGGGCAAAAATGGTAGACCAGGGACCCTTGAACTTCATAGCAGATGACTGAAGTAAACAGATGTACTACATAATGGAATTAGCCTCCCATAGTCTCTGAGAAGGCAAGCCCTTTGATCCAGTGCTACAGGCCTAAAAGCTTCTTCAGAAAGTGTGTCAGCTTCCCATGTAGCTTTTACCAAGGTCTCAAGGAGTGAGACCGCGATTTTCAGGGAGGGCAGCTGATGCCAAGGTCTAAGGGTGACTTTTCCAAGGTCACACTGAATAAGTAGCAAAGCAAGTCTCCTGCCACTAAACATCAGATCTGCTCACCATTCTGATTTGTTGGTTTTAATTGTAGCACTCATTTATCTTACTGCTGGCAAAATTGGATCAATTAGACTGTTAGAAAATGAATATTAAAGAAAAAAAACCTTAAAACTAGACAGTATTTCCACTTGGGGGACCTTTCCAGGGTCATAAGCAGGTCTATGCAAAAAGGATCAGAGATGGCTGTGCTGCACACAAGCCCTGGAGAGCAGTAGTTGTGGCCCAGTAGGGTCTGCATGACCGTGAGTGTATGCCTTACCCTCGTGCATGTGTTCTGTCCACAGGGTCATGTAGGCACAACAGCCACCAAGAAGATCGATGTCTACCTCCCCTTACACTCAAGCCAGGACAGACTGCTGCCAATGACTGTGGTGACAATGGCCAGCGCCAGGGTGCAGGACCTGATCGGGCTCATCTGTTGGCAGTACACAAGCGAAGGACGGGAGCCGAAGCTCAAGTAATCCTTCCTCTTTTTTGGCTGCTCTAGTTTCTGGCTGTCTCCTGGCCACCCATCCTGCATCCGGGCCCAGTGTTTCCAGGCATTGGCCTGGGAAGCAGATGTCCACACTCATGTAGGTCAGGTCGCTCACCAGATCTTGGACCTGTGTACCTCAGGCTCATCTCAGAATCTACTTGTAAATACACTGATAAGTTTGTGAATCCAGACTTGAGGAAAATGCATGTTGCCATTTCAAACCCTTTTATGAGGCTTGCTGATAAATGTGGCATGGGAGTTAGTGGGAGGGAACTAATGTTTATTAAGTACCTACCATGAGTTGGGACCACGCTGGGCGTTTCGTACCCGATTTCTCGCTGAATTCTCCTCGCTCCCTGTGGGGTGAGCATTATGACCCTCATTCTGCAAAGGAGAGTTGTTACTTGCTTCAGGTTACACCGGTGGGAGATGGCAGAGTCAGGATTTCATTCCTGGTCTGTTCAGTGCCAAGGTTTTTGCATTTTTTCCTTTGGTCTGAATTAGTTCTCTTTGTTGCCAGTCGTTGGCTCAGTTTTTCTCTCAGTCCCTAGACTCTATTCCTCATTAAATAATTATTTTTAAAATGTAGAACTTGAATGTAGAGTCTCTGTGCTTGTACATCATAGCTTGAACTTGAAAGTGCTTTGCTGCATTGGTTCTCCCCTACTTAAATTTCTTATCTAGAGAGAATGGGCCAGTGGCAGTGCATCAAACAGTAGAATTTAAGGCAAAAACATGTCAATAGGGATATTTTGGTAGATTACATAATGAAAAGGAGCAGCCCATCAAGATATAATAATTCTGACTGTGTATGTATCTAGTAGTCTAACCTATTTTAAGGGAGTTTTAAAGAGGCATTAACTGATCCACAGTCAAACTGAGAAATTTCAATATATTCCTATTAGAAAGCAGTAAATGAAGCAAACCAGATATTAATGAGGAAAAGGAAGATCAGCAAATATAATTAGCAATTCTGAACCCCCAAAATAGAGACTATCTCTTGTAATAGTTTGTAAGCCTCTGCAATTGAGTACATCTTATTAAAATTTATATTCCTGAAGTATATCAAGCGTGTTGACATTTTTTAAATAGTTGCTCTATAATTTGAATTACAGAATTATATTGTATTGAAGTTAAAGAAACTATGGTCTTTTGAAATGTCTTACAATTCTTACAGGACAAATTTTTTACAATTCTTACATGGATTTCTCCATTGTGTTTTGTATAAGACAATCTGTAAAGTAAATCCCTGGTATCTCTTCTTATCAGTGAGGCAAGTGTTTTCTTTCTAGCTTATTTGAACTTAGGTGTGGGAATAGGTCCTTATTTGATCTTTCCAGTGGGTTGGCCCTTTGGAGGAGCTCTTCATTCACAGGGGGCCAAATTGCTAGATGCATGGGAAAGAACCCCTTCCTCTCTTTTCATTTTGGTCGTCAAGAAAACCATTTATTTAAGAACAGTGTTCTCTTGTTTCTGCCTTGTAAACTGTTTATGGTAGTAGGCTTTGGCTGCAGGGAAGGAATGGAGAATTTAGCTGGAATTCTTGGCTTCCTTTGTTAGCTCTTGAGCAAACTTGGAATGTGGTATTTATTATCCTACTTATTTTGATGCAGTGATTTTTAGGGGAAACTATCTATTTGGAAGAATTTTTAAATTTAGACTTTGTTATATAGATTCATGTTTATTGAATTTTGATCAGAAAATATGGCATATAAAATTTCTGCTTAGAGGTTTATTTATATTTTGCAGCTTACTATGCAATACATTTTTATAAATATTTTATGGATTCTGGAAATAATTCTGTATAGGTTACAGAATTCAATATATATTTATTAAATCAACATCTTTAATTACTATCATGTTCTTGCATCTTTTAACTATTTCATCTATGGATGATTAAGAGAAATGGATTAAAATTTCCATTTTGTTGTATGCTTCTGTCAATTTCTCCTGAGATTTCAGCAGTTTCCATTTTGTATATGTCAGTGCACAAAAAGATTCATGCATTTCATATCTTTACTGTGAGTTTTCCTTTTTTTCAATATAAAACGGCCCTGTTTTATTTTTGTATTGTGGCCTGCTCCCCCCCTTTTTTTTCCTTTATTGCAGTGCAATTAGCTTTCTCCCCTTGTTCTTCTTTGCACTAGTCTAGTCTAATATATCTTTATTCAGCTTTTTAGTTTTAGATATGATGAATAATTTTGTGAGGGTTTTCTCTTTTGACCCAATTTAAGTCAATGTCTTTTCATAGGGAAGTTTATCTTACTAACATTTATTGTAGCCAGTGATATGTTGGCTTCATGTGAATCAGCTGGCTCTGTTTTTTATGTAATTTTGAAGGCTGGTTACCTGTAAGATTTTAAAACATTTTTAATAGACTTTATTTTTTAGAGTAGTTTTAGGTTTACAGAAAAATCGCACAGAAAGTGTAGAGTTCCCACATATCTACTTCCTGCCTCTCATCTTTCCTTTTTATTAACATTTTATATTAGTGTGATACATTTGTTACAATCAATGAACCAGTATTGATACATTATTATTAACTAAAGTCAGTCATTTACATTAGAGTGCACTCGTAAGATTGTATCATGTCGAATGGTTTCACTGACCTAATAATGCTCCATGCTCCATCTCTTTATCCAGCCCCCCTCAACTCTGGCGACCACTCATTTTTTAAAAAAATATATATTTTATTGATTTTTTTACAGAGAGGAAGGGAGAAGGAGAGGGATACAGAGTTAGAAACATCAATGAGAGAGAAACATCGATTCAGCTGCCTCTTGCACGCCCCCTACTGGGGATGTGCCCACAACCCAGGTACGTGCCCTTGACCAGAATCGAACCTGGGACCCTTCAGTCCACAGGCCGACGCTCTATCCGCCTAGCCAAACCGGCTAGGGCAACCACTCATTTTTTTACTGCTCCTATCATTTTGCATTTTCTAGAATGTCAGCTAGTTAGAATCATACTATTTGTAGCCTTTTCAGACTGGTTTCTTTCACTAAGTAATATGCATTTCAAGGTTCCTTTGTGTCTTTTCATGGCTTCATAGCTCATTTCTTTATATTGCTGAATAACATTCCATTGTATGCATGTACCACTGTTTGTTTTCCCATTCACCTATTGAAGTTCAGTTTGATTACTTCCAGTTTGTGGGAATACTATATAATAAAAGCCTAATATGGAAATCAACCGAATGGTGGAACGACGGGTTGCTATGATGCACACTGACCACCAGGGGGCAGACGCTCGACGCAGGAGCTGCCCCCAGCCCGCAGGCCCCAGGCCAGCCAATGTGGGTGCCAGCGGGGGCTCCCTGATCACCCTGCCAGTCACCCCACAGATCGGCCCTGTTCACCCACCAGGCCTAGGGTCCCTACCCGTACACAAATTTCGTGCACCAGACCTCTAGTTATTAGAGCGGCTGTAAACTTTCATGTGCAGGTTTTTGTGTGGACATAAGTTTCCCATTCATTTTGCCAATACCTAGGAGTGCAGTTGCTGGATTGTATGGTAAGCCTATGTTTAGCTTTCTTAAGAAATTGCAAACTGTTTTCCAAAATAGTTATACCATTTGGCATTTCCATCAACAATGCATGAGAGTTCTTGCTCCACATCCTCACCAGCAGTTGGTTTTGTAAATGGTTTGGATTTGAGCTATTCTAATAGGTGTGCAGTGGTATCTCGTTGTTTTAATGTGCAACTCCCTAATGAGATGATGTTGAGCATCTTTTCACATGCTTGACATCTTGTATTTATTTGCTATTTACAGCACATCTCCATTCAGGCTAGCCACATTTCATGTGCTCAGTAGCCAGATGTTGGGAAATGCAGCTCTAGAAAATATAAAGACATGGTTTCACCGTGCAATGGAGTTCACTACAGATCCACTTCATTCTAATGTAACCTCAGCTATCTAGAGCCCTTGGGAAACTTGGTGGGTTTTGTAGATAGTTGAGGGTTTATCTCCTTTAGTATCAAACTTTATTTTTTTTCTTCTTTTTCTTTTTTTTAATATATTTTATTGATTTTTTACAGAGAGGAAGGGAGAGAGATAGAGAGTTAGAAACATTGATGAGAGAGAAACATCCATCAGCTGCCTCCTGCACATCTCCCACTGGGGATATGCCCGCAACCCAGGTACATGCCCTTGACCTGAATCAAACCTGGGACCCTTCAGTCCGCAGGCCGACGCTCTATCCACTGAGCCAAACCGGTTTTGGCAAGTATCAAACTTTCTTAATTTTAATAGTTTTTCATAGAAGTTCTCTAAAACAGTGGTCGCCAACCTTTTGGACTTCACAGACCACCAGTGGTCCGCGGACTACTGGTTGGCGACCACTGCTCTAAGAATGTATTAACATTTTCCTCTGCCTTCTTAATCAGCATATAACATAGTGGTTGAGTGGGGGATCCAAAGCCATAGTCTGGATTTGAATTCTGGCATGAATACCTATCAGGCTGGTTTTGGATGTATCACTTCAGCCCCATGTGCTCCAGGTTTCGTATGTAAAATAAGAATAGAAACTTCCTAATAGGGGGTAGTTATCAAAATAAAATTAAGAAAATACATGGCAAGTGCTCAGTAAATGTTCATTTCTGTTGCTGATAAATACTGTAACTGTAACCAGCTACTACTACAAACCAAACTAGTAGTAGTTCAGCAACAGTAGCATAATTTAGCCTTCCCCGATGATGCAAGTAATTGTGCTTTGCCATGAAAGTATATAGGAATATTTGATCTTACATGCTTTCTGACAACTTTGCAATTAGAATTTCCTTCCTTCCTTCCTTCCATTATTGTCTACCTGCCTATCTCTATCTACTCTTCTCCCATTTGTAGGTTTTTGCTTCTAATTTATATTCCTTAGGGTCATCATTGGGAATCATTTACCTAAATAATACAGCCTAACCTCCATTCTGAGCCCCCAGCTATACTCCCATGTATCACATTCTTTAAATGGCATCTTCTCGACGCTGATACCATGCCTGCTTTTGCTGTTTCCTTAGTCAGGAATGCCTCTCTCATTCTTTTTGATATCCTGCTTAATCTCGAAGGCTTAACTCCTCAGTCATTCCTTCATTCAGGAAATATTTATGGAGTCCTAGGGTCTAGGTATTGAGGATAAAATGTACAAGAGAAATCTAATTATTCCCCCTAAAAATTCATAGTTTCGTGGGGAAGAAGAAATTATCAAATGTATTAGCACTTTGTAACTGACCCATTTCACTTATCATTGTATACAATAAATATTTATTGAGTGTTTGCTTTACGGTATACCAGGCACTTTGCTGAGTATACAGTGGTTCATGGAACCACATGTAGGCTCTCTGTCATGAGTTCCACAGTCTAGTGAAGGAAATGGGCAGAAAATTTAAAAAGTTAAGCCAAATAAGGTTTGCTTAAAAACTGAGCTAAGTGCTCTAAAGGAAAGGAATGCTGTTTATGAGAGTCCAGCCTGGGAGTTGCGTTAGGGAGAAATTCCCCAAGAAGGTGATACCAGAGGCATTTGGAGGGGAAGGTCCTGGCAGATGGAACCACATGGCAGGGATCTGTGGCCGGAGGAAGCAGGTTGTGGTCAGGGAACTAAAGAAGGCCAGTGCGGCCAGAGCACAAAGAAGGGAAGAGAAAGTGGAGTGGAGAGAGACTGAGAAGTACGCAGGGGCCACAGTGGAGATTGAGAGAAAGGGACAGATTCTGGAAATTTAAGAGAGAAACATTCACATGACTTAGGAATGAGTTAGATACGGGAAGTGTGGGAAAGGAGAGGTATCAAAGATTTCTGATTTGCACAACTTTGTATGTTGTGCCCTTCACTGATATAGGGAGCATTGGAAGAGTGGGTTTTGTTTGTTGTTTTTTTGGTGTGTGAGGAGGAGGAGGAGGGGCAGCCTGAGTTTGGTCTTCTGCCTATTAATTTGATCAATGTTTCTCTCACACATTGATGTTTCTCTCCCTTTCTCTCTAAAATCAATTAAAAAAAACATATCCTTGGGTGAGAATGAAAAAATAATAACAATACCCATTATGGGTTTTTTTATGGGTACAGTGTGATTCAGGCTACACATTCATATATACATTCATTCAACAAATATTTGTTAAGTACTTTCTAAATGCCGGCCGCTTACTCTTCAGTGAGGATGCAGAGACAATAGGATCCTGCTCTTTAGGAGAACATAGATGCATAAATAATAAAAGGAGCAATATTATACGCAGAAATATCAACCAAGTTCTGGAAGACCACAGAGGAGAGTCACTTTTCCAAATGATTCTCCTAGAGAAATCAATGAAAGCTTTTTATAGATGAGAAAATGGAACTCAGAGAGATTTGGTCACACAGCTGGTTAATGGTTGAGTTAGCATTGAAACCAGATCTGACTGCAAAACCTCTCTTCATTCCACTGAACTATGTCATAAGGAGGCGCCCCTGTTTTCACTGTTTTATAAGTCCCAGATTCTATATTTGGGGAATTCCTGAGTCAGAGACCACAGCTGTCCCTCTTTGTTCCCCTCCCCACTTCACAATGCCACCAATTTCTGATTTGATCAAAGAGTAATGGAACGGAAGCAAGGAGACCGGAGTTCTCTAGACCTGGCTTTGGCCCTATTTAATTGGGTGATCACAACCATGTTATTCCTCTTTTCTAGGCATCTATTTCCCAGCTGTAACAGCAAGGAGGTTGAAATAAATATCTCTAAGCTTCTAATTTTTTATAATGCACGTGGTTTCCTCCTCCTTTTCAAAGTACGTCACATTTCCATAGCAACACACCATGGCTTTGGCAGAGAGAGAGGTGGGGGTCAGGAGTGAGGGTTCTTGACTACTTGGGTGTGAGTCTCAGCTCTGTCCCTTATGTGCTGTTTCATCTCGAGCAAACCGCTTACCTCGCTGAGCCTCAGTTTTCTCCTTTGTAAAAACACACACATAACCATGTGACGACGTAGCTGCTATGAAGATTCAGTGAGCTTATGTGTCTAAACCACTGTGCACTATTCCTGGCACTGAGCACACAATAAATGTAGCTAATGATATTAATGGTTATTGTACTAGTACTAATTTGGAGCCTTGAAGCAGTTTTAGAAGTCAAAATACCACAGTAGCTTTTTCATTCATCATTCTTGTATAAAGGCACAAAAGAACCACTATGACCATACACAGAATATGGAATTTCAGTCTTTTTTTTTCCTTAGGCATTCAATTAAGAGGTTTTAGGGTTTGGAGCACTGTTTGCTGCTAAACTTTACTGATAAACAAGAAAAGACTTCCTGTAGTTTTGTGTCATGCACAGTGAGCCAGTCATTCTCCTTGCTGGGTTCCCAGTGTCAGGTCATGCAGCAGCACTGGGCAGGCACTAGGCAAATGTTTTTTTGAAACAATAAGTGATTTCACACCTTGTATTTAGAACTGGGAAGAATAACAGCACTTGGCAGTGAGTCTTTTGGCTCTCAGATCTAAGCCTGTGACATTTGTTGAGTTTGTTTTGAGGGGATTTGTGGGCCTCCCATGACAATCAAAGCAGAATTCTTCTGATACCAATGCTTGGCTTTCTGCTTTGATCAATAGGCTTATTATTTGCCCTTGAAACCTCTGTGATGCTGGGGAATCACAGGCATTCCTCAGGATAATTTACACGGCAATAAATAATCTGTGCTGTCCATTGCTTGCTTCATCAGTGTCTGCCCTGGTCATAAAATCCCGGAGGCTCAGTGGCCCCAAGGCTGGAGCACAGTGGACATGTTAACTCCAGCTACAGATGTGTGCACATGGGACTCAGTTTCATTGTTGTTTTCTGGCTAATATCCATCCACACAGTTTATCTTTAAGGATTGACATTACTGTCAAAGTTATTTTCCATCTGACTTTTTATAGTTATCATACCTTTTTTTTTTTTTTTTTTACCTCTGTTCTATGCTCAGCGCTATATGTTATCTCATCTCATCCTCACAACCCCCCCTGAGTCAGGCGATTATACCCTTTTTATAGAAGTCGACACTGAAACTCAAGGAGGTGAAGCTTATTCTCTGAAACCACAGAGCCCATGAGTGATGGAGCTAGGGTTGAACTCAAGTCTTCCTGGGCACACAGCTCATAGGTCCTCCACCAGGACATTTTCCTCATCTGAACGGCTTTCTGCTGCTTCTGCACGTGTTTTGTGTTTGTTAGCCTCTTGCGAAGATCTGTAAGTTTCCCATACCATTCAGAGATGAATTTTAAATTAAGAGCATTGCAAATACAGGAAATTTATAGTGACAAACATAGCCAGATTACTTTCTTGTTATCCATCCATTTAGCAGATTTACAGTTCCCATTCATTTTAATCTGTCCTTATTACCTGTTTTATATAACAAATATCTCTTAATCCTGACAGACTGAGTATAGATCACCTGAAGTAGGCTCTCTCTCAGTAAGCAGAATTGCGGCAAAAGATTTGTGAATTAATTGGGAAAATTGCAAATCAGGTAGTCAGTGAAATAATTCATTGTCACATCCAATCAATAAACTTTGTAAATCAACTCATTTAATTCAAAAAATGATCTATATAGATCAAGCAACCAATTAAACAATTAGCATACACTTTGCAATTAATTAATTTAAGCATCAATCATATAATTAAAACTCCAAATTTAAGCTGCAGAATTTAGAAACCCACTGCCTTTCGAACTATTAGGTTCATACTTCTGAATACTAGCAGATTTGCAGTTTCACAATTCAACTTTGGAGCAGGGTATCTAAAGTGTTTTAAGTTGATCTTAGTTGTTTTTTTTTTTGTTTTTTTTTAAATATATATTTTATTGATTTTTTACAGAGAGGAAAGGAGAGAGATAGAGAGCTAGAAACATCGATGAGAGAGAAACATCGATCAGCTGCCTCCCGCACATCCCCCACCGGGGATGTGCCCGCAACCCAGGCACATGCCCTTGACCGAAACCGAACCCGGGACCTCTCAGTCCGCAGGCTGACGCTCTATCCACTGAGCCAAACCGGTCTCGGCAAGTTGATCTTAGTTTTAAATTGTCTTTATGTTGATAGAGTTTCCCACCCTTTTTCAGCAAATTGACTTTTTAATTCCCCAAAGAAGGAGAAAGAGATGCGTGTTGATTACAAACTGGGAGAGGCTAGAAACTGGGATTACTGACGGGACATTCTAGGGAAGTGAGCAAAGTCCATAAGCAGTTGGTCAGGATAAATCAGGTCATTTGCTTTACTCTGTTAAGTATCCTTGGTGTTTGGAATCAGGTCCTGCCAAGTGAGGCTGATTTTCTTCAGAGAAGGGAGAACTGTATTGATTGTCTTTGTTACTTCTTGAGCTAGAGCAGATATTTTCTTAATCCTGACCATAAATCAAAGTCCACCGATTTCCCCCAAATCATTTTCTTTCTTTTATAGTTTTGTGTATCTCTTTTATGAGACTTATTTTATCTACAATTGTATTATAGCTAATATAGTGATTACTCCCCACCCCCCACCCCCCCTCCGCTATATTGTAAGCTTCCTTGAGGACTGTCGCTAACTCTCATCTTTGATCTAAGGGGTTCTGTGTCTTATTTACAACAAGTGCTCAGTAAGTATTTGTTGGAAGAGCAGAGAGTGTAAAGGCTCTTGTTTCACACTGGTTTCCCCCCTTTGCACTGCCATGTATTTTCTCCTTATCAAATGAGGTGGGGTTTGGGGGATCTGAATGTAACTGCAGGCTTCGGGGTAAAGGACAGCAGTTTCCCGTTTGCTTGCTGTACATCAGGGCCTCTGGTCGCCGAGTCCCTTTTTCAGCTTGGTTTTCACTCACCTTTTCGGTTTTCCTTTTAGTGAGAATGTCAGTGCCTACTGCCTGCACATTGCTGAGGATGATGGGGAGGTTGACACAGATTTCCCCCCACTGGATTCCAATGAGCCCATTCATAAGTTTGGCTTCAGTACGTTGGCCCTGGTTGAAAAGTATTCATCTCCTGGTCTGACATCCAAAGAGTCACTCTTTGTTCGAATGTGAGTATTGACTCTGTTTGCTTATCTCAGTATCTCCTCTCTGCCTTTGGTGTAATTCTGGATTTGATTTTGTTCATTAAATGAATATTTGGTATCTGGAGAGGCCACAGGTAATTATTACTTCCAGCGAGCTGCTGGGGACAACATTCACATTGTATTTCCTGCCTCTGCACCTACATTAAATACAGACTGCTTTGTAGTAGCAAATTGTATTAAGTCGATCTCTGAATGTCCCACCCATGAACTAGGCCTCCGGACAGATTGGGGCACTTTGGAGCCTGTGAGGCAAAAATTCTCTTCAAATTGAATGAAAATGTGCATCACAGCCACTTCTCTCTTGTGACTTAACATATTCCCTTTTCTTGCCAACTTTGTTCAGATCCATTTTGATGTATCCTCTTGGTTGCCTTCCTTTAGGCTGAGCAGAGGTTCTTACCCTGCCTGCCTGTGCCTTTGGTAGTCTGGTAAAGCCTAGAAAAGCCCTTCTCAGAAAAGTGTTTGTAAATGCAGAAAATAACATTCACATGACTACACAAGGATTTCTTGTATTTAAAGTTATCAAACTGTTAAATTTGTGATAGAATAATAATATGTATGCTGTTGGTGATACATTGAGTAACAAGATCTGGTAACTCCTGAAATTTGGTTTCAAAGGGAGTGATTGTGATATTGGAGACGTCTGCACCAACTGGAATGTGCTATCATTATATCTATGATTTCTGTTCATGACAACTCACCAGCACTGCTAAAAACATTGTGATTTGTTGACTATAATTCAAGAAAATGCTAAATAGCTAGTGAAAATAAGAATGTAATTTTTATTCATTCAAGTCTACAGAGCACCTGAGTTTTACCCATAGGTCCCCATTGTTAGGGGAAAACCAGCAGTATTTTCTCAGCGCAGCTTAAGCTTTTTAGCCAAGGTGGCGACAGTCCTTCTCCTAGCCATCTCCTGGGAACAATAGCGATCCCTTTGGCACCCCCTGCTGTTAATAACCAGCAAATTCACTCTTCAAAAGAGTGCTTTAGAGGACTTTTCTACCTGTCTCTTTAAAACATATTGCCTTTGTTTCAGGATTTTACTAAAAATAGGGTTATGCTAGCTATGATATATGAGTATTTTGTGTCTTTCTATCCTTGAGCAAAAAATGGATACCTGGGTTCCTGTGGGTGAGCTGGGGTGACGCTTCAAGCTTTTATAATTGCCATTTCATTTCTACGATGAAGTCATGTTGAGTGTATATAACAGCAAATATGTTCCTTCTTTTTACTTTTCAGAGGCACTAAAACAACAACCTTAAAGAATATTTAAAGTAATTTAAAAGCTATCTAATGATTCCTCATCCTAATATAACTACTTTCATTTTTGTACAGTCATTTTCATGTGTATATACATACAGTTTCAGTTCTAGCAGATAGATAGATGATAGATAGATAGATAGATAGATAGATATAGATATAGCTATTTTTACTTCACATTATATTACAAATTTTTCAATATCTGTTCTTAATTCCTGCATCCTACATTTATTATGTATCAAGGATCTAGACATAGACAACCCCTGTGCTCATGGAGCTTATGCTCTATTGGGAAGATAGTTGTCAAATCATTAGTATGTGATGAGCATGACAACAGAAATGGATGCAGTGGATGCCTGTCATAGGATGTTTAGATTGTTTTCTTGTTTTGCTTTTAAGTGATTCTATGATAGTCCTTGTTTATATCTATTTTCTTTCTGTTGAATAACTTCCTTAGGATAATTTTTTTGTTAGTAGGATTATTGGTCAGAGTAGAAACATCTCTAGACTCTCCCTTTGTGTCAATTTACAGTGCAATGTGAGCCTTACATCACAAGATTTCATTAGAAGATTTTTCTTTTTACTTTAAAAGATGTATACAGTGGCATTTCAGTAGTTTTCCCCTTGCATTGATATTACCTATTGATTACATAAAAGAATTGTTCTCATTAACACATAATTTTTACACATAGATGTTAACATATGATCATAGTAGTGTTTTAAACTGAAAGTCCTTTTTAAAACAATAGCTTTCAAATCAATGATTTTTAGTAGAGTAGGGTTGGGAGTGGAATGGATAGAAGTGTTTTACTATGAACCCACCTTCCCGGGAATGGAGGGAGTGGGGAAAAGGCAGAGAATAACAATAACAGCTTTAAACTTAATACTCTCCCCCCCGCCCCCAATTACTTCCATTCTGTACTTTCACTCCCAAACATTCAGACCGAATCAATCCTTTTTCTATTTTTAAAGTTCGGGAGAGTTTATTCCACATGTCTGGAGTGTTTCTGAAAACACGAGGTAAAGCAGAATCTTTATATGTGAGCATTTAGAACAAAAGTGTCATTGAATTTTGTTTCTTTTTCTCAGTTGTCTGAGGAAATAGTGCAGATTACTGACCATTTGCCCTGTGTATATTTTATTGATTCAGCAACCTCCCATTCACCTTTCTGGCCTATAGTCTAAGTTAGAAATTTTTCTCCTGCAAATGCAGGACAGAGCAGACCTTCAGGAGTCTCCAAGGATGTGTCCAACCTTTCAGAGAGTGAAGTCCCAGCAAAATAAGTGAAGCCATTGCTCCTTCTCTTCATTTCCCCCCTTCCTCCTTGCGTCTTTCTCCCAGTGGAAAAGGGGCAGAAAGTACATAAACAGGAGTCCCTCGATTGCTGACTGCCAGCTACTCTAAGCTTTAAGGGAAGAAAAGTCAAAACCAATAAAATGGACAGAATCCTCCTAGATCAGAAGTCAGTAAGAGCAATTAAACAGCCCTCATATGTACACGTTTTACTTAAAACGTTTATTATATCAGATGGACATGGGAAAGGAACTGTTCTAACTAAGACTGCAGAGCAAATAGAATCCAATCCGGATTTTGCTCTTTCGGAAAGGGACCACAGAGTGGGCAGACGGTGGTAGCACAAGAACCGGGCTGCCTCGGGCAGTGTGGCCCAGAGGGCTCCCAGAGGCTGCCTTGGCATCTCTGACTCTGCATAAAGGGGAAGCTCAGATGCCTTTTAAAGAGGCGAGTCCTAGGTTCCTTGCTCTTTCCTGTATGAGGGGTTTTCAAAAGGGTGGGTGGTTTTACTATAACTTCTTGACTTGATCTCCAGTACAACCCAAATGACCAGACCGCTATAAAAGGGTATCATTAGCTTGAAGCCTCTCTACTTTTATGTGATTTGCTTTGTGGTCTGGAGAGAACAAAATAAAAGAAAACCAAAAGAAGAAAATTAGTATTTTTGCACACACACGATTCTGTAACCCCAGTAGCCATTATCTGATTTATTGCTTATAAGCACCTCTTTTTTTTTTTTTTAACATATAGACAGAGGGTCCCTGGTTTATGATGATTCCACTTAAGATTTTTTGACTACCTGGCTGGTGTGGCTTAGTGGTTGAGATCAACCTATGAACCAGGAGGTCGTAGTTCAATTCCCAGTCAGGGCACATGCCCAGGTTGCAGGCTGAACCCCAGTAGGAGGCATGCAGAAGGTGATTCTCTCCTATCGTTGTTTCTGTCTCTCTCTCCTTCTCCCTTCCTCTCTCTGAAACCAATAAAAACATTTTTTAAAAAGATTTTTTTGACTTTATGATGGTGTGAAAGCAACATCCATTCAGCACATATCCAGTAGAAACCATACTTCAAATTTTGAATTTGGATCTTTTCCCAGGCTACTGGTGTACAGTACGATAGCCTCTCATGATATTGGGCAGCAACAGTGAACTGGAGCTCCCACTTGCGCACGGGATCACAAGAGTAAACAACCAGTACTCTGTAATGTACTGTGTTACCTGGGTTTTTTACATGTTCTGTTCTGAGTTAGCCTAAGCTAAGCTCAGAGGTTCGGTAGGTTAGGTGCATTAAGTGCATTTTCAGCCCTGGCTGGGTAGTTCAGTTGGTTAGATGTCCCCCTGATACCAAGATAGTGCGTTTGATCTCCTGCCAGGGCACATACAGAATACAGTCAGTGAATGCATAAATAAGTGGAACAGAAAATCGATGTTTCTCTCTCTTCCTCTCTCTCTAACATCAATAAATAAATACAAAAAAAATTTAAATGCATTTCAACTTATGATATTTGCAACTTACGAGAGGTTTATAGGGATGTAACGCCATCATAAGTCAAGGAGCATCTGTATAAGCTGCAGATCACAGACAGGTACGCAAGGTCATCCAGTTCAGTCAGGGTCAGAGCTAAAACAGCATGAAGAATTTAAAAGAGAGAGATGCCTGTATTCTTTGTAACCAGGCCTGACAGCATGGGTATAAATTTTCCTAGTTATTTATTATTTGCTCACGTCATAGAGGACCAACTGTGTATTGTTTCTTTTCATTCTGTTGTATTAGCAAACATTTTCATTGTCCAGATTGTCCTCGTGTATGGAAATGAGCATATGCAGCCTGTTTAATTTTGTATTTGTAAATCTGACTTGATTCTCTTTTTGGCAACAGCTACTGTCTAGAGAAAAGAAAAGATTTTTCTTTGTCTCTTTAAAGTGGCAGAAATATTGGAGCAAGTAATAAAGATGGAAAGCATTAATTACATACTTCTAAGAATTTAAAGGTCAGACAAGCTAAATGTGTATGTTTTACGCACTGGAATGTCTGTCTGCTGATAGTGTGCCAGGATTCACTTTGTTCCTCCAATAAAAGCACACATTTCAGATAGCCATCAACTTACTTTGGTTTCCAAAAATTATACCAGATTGTTGCTTTAGTTGCTATATATCTTAAAAGTTTAGGGCTCACATTTCTGACATTAATGTGATTTGTTTTATGATCCAGCCCCTTTGGCCATGTTTGGTTACTATGTCTCATTTTGATTTCCTCTGTTCTCCCCTCAGCTTATGTTGGAGTCTGTCAGCTGCTGCTATGTACATGTCAGGCTAGTGACTTGTAATGTTTATTAATACAATGTCAGTCTTGCTGTTGAAAAAACTGTGATGCTTCTCAGAAGGTTGCGATAGAACGAAGCGTTTGA